AGTTACTCGATCACCAGGGTAAAAAAGCAAAAAATTCATTTCAACAGCTTCTTTTTTCTATACCATCAAAGAAATATTATTTTTATTTATTCCAAACAAGTGAAATGAAGAGAGAACGACAAAAAAAAAAGAACGTCTGGTTAATAAAAAGTTGGACAAAAAAAAAAAATTATCAAGGCTAAATAGAGAAAATAAATATTGTTTATTGTTGTTTCAATAGAATTCAATTCTTTTTTTTTTTTTTCCTTCAAAAGCTATTTTACATATAATTGCATCAGAAACAATTGAATATAGGTTAAAAATATCAACTTCAAACATTATGATACAATTCTATAGCATCACGGTCGTGATGACAACGTTATATTTTGTAAAACAATCAACGCAGCGCGCAGTGCCCGTGTGAATGATATTTTTATAATAACAACAGTACGACAGTAGTAACATATTTTTTTTTGTTATGACAACATTGCACAATTAAATGTGTTTATATAGAAACAGTAAAATACACTTTAAAACTAATTTATTCTATTTTTATTTTAATAAAACTTCAAGTTATTTTTCCGAAAATCAAAGCTTACAAATGATTTTTGCAAGAATTTATTTTTCGTATGCAAATATATTTTTGAAATAGTATTCATTGTTGGGAACAACGACATTTTCTTTTTTCGAAAGAAAAATATTCTAGTAGTGATAAAAATAATTTCATTTCTATTGCAACTTTAGAAATAGGATTTATATGACGAGACAATATTTACCGATAGTTATTCATTTAACAAACAGTAGATAGTTGTTTTTTTTTTAAATAATTAGCATGTGATTCATTTTTATTGATTTCTACTCGTCTTTTTCTATTATTGTGTTGTTTATTTCACTTACAACTTTGATTAATGCTAATATTGAGATATAAATTGGTTCTATACGATCTCGAGATATTCGATTGGTATCAATAAGTTCAGCTCAATTATGTTTCAAATACATTCTATTTAGATAATTGAACATCTCTTCAGGGACGTAAATAGGGTGGGGCGCGACGCCCCCCCCCCCCCCCGATTTTTAAAATTTGGTTAAAAACGCGGTTTTTAGGGATATTTTAGTGCAGAATCCATATCCCCCCCCCCGCCTTAGAGACCGAGCTACGCCCCTGCATATCTTACTGTATTAATCGTCCAATATATATATATCGAATTTATCAATATTAAATATATTAGCCACATTTTTGTCAACAATATCAAATTGATTTGCTATAATTTGTACGTTACTTAGATTATGCTATCTTTGATGTGTAAGTTATTTAATCGCGAAGATTATTTTATTTGATATTTTGACTATGAATACAAAAAAATATAACTGTTAAATAAAGACTTGTTGATGTCTAAAAATATTTATTATTAAATTTTTTCAATAATTTCACAAATGAAAAAAAAAAATTATTTAAAAAATTTTTTCTGGTAAATCAAAACCATTAAGAAAAATATCCCATTTAGATTTTGGTATATATTTAAAAACTGTATTTAAACGATTTGTAAGATTTTTATTTGATATACGTATAAAAATTTTTAAAATTCTTTCTGAATATTGTTGATAAATATTTGCATAAATTTCTGGATCTTTTTGAAATATATCACCAAATAAAATAAATTTTCTTGAACGTGTTTGTTGAAAAAACATATGTAAAATTTTTGTTTTTTGTTTTATAAATGATTTTGATGAAAAAAATTGAAAAAAATTTATATCAAACCATGTAAAATGTCTCATATGATATGAACCTAATGGAAATTTTTCACGTTGAATAAATTCATGTAAAAATGGATATAATTGATCAGGTGATGCAGTTAAATAATGAAATGTTGCATTATAATATAATTCATAATGACGATAACGTTCCGACATACCTGGAATTGATTTATATTGACCAGAAAATGTATTTCGAAGTATAGAACGAATACTTGTTACTCCTGTTATTTTAATTGTATCATCCTTAAAATGAAAATATTGTAATCTGTAAATTAAGATTAAATTAATAATTATTTGACAATAATTCCCAGATCAAACGACCCCGGTCGGATACGATCCTATATTTGTCGGAATTTCTATCAGCCGGATTTCATCGGACTTCGCTAATGATTAGATTAACTTAAATTCGTTTTGTTCTATGTGAAATAGGAAATTAATAAGTATTTATTTTGTAAAGATTAAAATATTGTAGAGTAGATAAAACTTTTGATAAAAATTCGACTTTTCGATTATCATCAACAATATACAGGGTTGTGCATAACCTTTTGCTAGGAGGGTAGCGCCATTATTTCAAGTTGAATACCTAATGAAATTTATACCAAATTAAAGAGCGTCGAAAACTGGATTTCTTAGTACTAAATAGTAAGGGTTATCAAAATATGTTAATGTCGAACTTACGAAATTTTCGGAAATTTTATGCTTTTTTTTAGCATAAAAAATTAAGGCACCGGCAATTTTTTATAGGTAAGAAAAATACCCGATTTTTTCAATAAAATTAGGTTTTTTCATTATTTTTACTAGCAAAGACGCTTCGAGATATACTCGTCAGACGCAGTTTTTCACGCTGCACCGGAGCAGTATATTTCGAAGTGTCTTTATCAATAAAAATAATGAAAAAAGCTAATTTCATTGAAAAAATCAAGTGTTTTTCTTCCATATAAAAAAAACGAGTTTCTAGAGATTTTTTAAATTTTTTATCTGAAAAAAATGGCTTAAAAAATTTCTGATATATACAGTTTTGTAGAGCTCGACGAGCTCTATCGAACCATATAAAAATATCAAAAGAAAATATCTTACTCTATATTTGAATTGGTGCGGTGCCTTCATTTTCTATGGTAAAAAAAGCATAAAATTTCCGAAAATTTTGTAAGTTCCACATTAAAATATTTTGAAAACTCTTACTATTTCGTACTAATAAATCCATTTTTCAACGCTCTTTAATTTGGTATAAAATTCATTAGGTATTCACCTTGAAATAATGGCGCTACCCCCCTAGCAAAAGGTTATGCGCAACCCTATATATCGGTTGGTTTTTTTTTTAATTTTTATTTGAATTTCAGATATTATTGCTTTCTAAACATCTGTTTGATAGATTTTGCAATAAATCGAATCATTTATACAATTCTTCAAAAATCATGGAAACGAATATTATAACTCATTTTGATATTACAATTGACTGTCTGACTTTTGTAGATGAACTTGATGTTTAAGAATAACAGCTCACTATAGCATACTATTTCAGTTATTCACTATATCTATTCAATGAATACGATAAACTTAATGACCGTTTAAAGATATTATTGATATACGACCTGTGATAGTTTATCACAGCCTGTAGGTGAAAATTTTTACATTTCTACGTCAATACTATTTTTAGATCGTGTTTTATCATATCTAATAATAATATCAGATTAGAAGGGTATAACTTACAATATCACTTATCATCGATATTCCATTATCATCACATAAAAAAATTTCTCCTTTTGCTTGAATATTTTCATCAATTGTTGATAGAGAATATTCAATTTTTCCATATGTACCACCGGGTATACGAAAATGTTGTACATCATTATTTGATAGTTGAAATTGTTTTTTAATTAAACCTTGTTCATCAGTTTTTATACATATTTCATCTATTAAATCATCTATACATAAAGTTTTATATTTTTGTCCACTTGATGTAAAATAAGAAACACGTTTTTTATCTATATTACTAACAATTGGAGAAAGTGTTGCTTTTGCTAATTGTGCACGAAAACGATTTTCTTTAAAAAACCAACCTAAAATATTATATTTCAAAATGAAAAAACAATATTTAATAGACAATAAAATTAACCTTGAGCATAGAGAATCCAATCATCTGAAGGATGAGCATTAATTGTTGATTCAATTTGATTTGAATGATGACGAAATGCAACCGATGGAACAAGTATTAAATGTTCTTTTTCAGATATTAAAAAACTTAATATTAATATATATTGTTGAAATAAAAGAATATAGATAATAATGTTGAGACCTTTCAACATGATTAACTAATGTACGGCAACAATATACACTTACATCCATATATATATATTATTTCTCTATGTGTTATCAATAATCAATTCTATGCTGTTGATATCAATTTGGGTTTTTTCTTTTCTTTTCCGTCTTATATCCATTGAGTTCTTTTTTTGTTATATGTGTCATAGAAAACAAAGAAAAAAAAATAAATATAAGTTTATTTACTTTTGATAAATGTGTTATAAACAAAAAGAAAAGATTCGATATATTAAAATTTTACGATCATCCATATTTCATTTCAATTTCAATCTTTTGTTTTAATTTGTACTTATTTCTTGCCAACATTATTTAATAGCAAAAAAAAATTATATGTACAATAACATATTATGAAAATAATTTTTTTTTTTTGTATGAAAAACGATCTACACAATAAATTCTATTCAAGAAAACAAGACATTAACACTATCTTGAATTGCAAAATTCATTGAATTTTAGTTAAAAAGGTGATTTAGTATAGAGGATTTTCAGTAGTTCTATTTTTTGACTAAAAGCTGTTCGAATCATAAATTCTTGAAAAATATTCTTAATATCAATTAAAAGAATTCTTATCTTCAATCGATGAATAAGAAATTCGTGTTTCTTGTCTCTTCTAAAATTCGGAAGTATTGTATGATTTATTGTTCGATTCTGAGAGTGAATAATCTTAAGCAATCAAAAAGAAAAATAGATTAAATTACATTCCTGATAAAATTATATATTTTGTTTTGGATTGTATTGTTTGTGTTTACCGTATGGATTTAGTTTATGCATGTTAGAAATTGTATACTAAATATTTATTATTTGGAAATATGATCTAGTTAAATTGATTGTTTTAACTGGATTTATAAGAAAGAAAAAAAAAACACAATTTCTCTTCATCTGACACTATAAAAGAGCTATTCGACAATATATTACCTGTCTCATTTTGATAAACGATAAGTACAATGTTACGTACATTTTTCTTCATCGTATTTCTTGTGTCGGCATCCAGTACTTTACCTTTAAATGATTTCTTTGCATTTGGATCTGAAAAAGGTGATTCAACAATGCTTCGAAACAACACAAGTGTGGGTCCTTTACATCTACCATATGTATTTCCTTGTTTTGACAATAATTATCAACAAATTTGGATAAATAGCAATGGTTTATTTTCTTTTCAACGATCAATCAATTATTATTCACAAAGACCACTTACATCATTGAATGATAGTTGTCTTGTGGCTGGATTTTGGCATGATTATATTTGGAATCAAGACAACAATACTGAAAGTGAAATTTACTATCAAATTCATAGTAACACATCGATATCAAATTCTACAGTGACAGTATTTAATAAAGCAAGTGATTATGTTCGAAAGTTCTTTCCTCAACAACGTTTATTCAAACCAAAAATGGTTATTACAAGTACTTGGTATTACATTGGTATTAGTACTAATAATACATTAAATAATACCTTTCAAATTGTATTATGTACAGATGAAGATCGTAGTTTTGTCTTTTTTCTTTATCATGATCTTCAATGGGCTAATCCTTACAACGGAACGTATTCCTATGCTGAAGCAGGAATTCATAATGGTGATCAAAATAAAACTCAAATGCTTCCCTATTCTGGCACAAAAAATATCATAGAATTAGTCAATAAGAGTAATGTCAATGTACCTGGTTTATTTACTTTTCGTATCGATGCAGATGAGATCAATGTAGGTGGTTGTAATGAGAGTAAAACAAGAATTTCATTTCGTCCTCGAATTAGTTCACAATTTGGTTCTACACCTCTGAATATTTATGGTCCATGTTTTACTAATCAAACAAAAGTTAAATGTCGATTTGGCACTTCATCACAAATTATCGATGGTTTTATTATTGATGAATTTCGAGCAAGTTGTCTTACACCATTTGCATCTGTTCACGGACCAGTATCAGTGAATATATCGATTGATAATGGACTAACATTCATTTCAGCTGGTATTTTTACATATGCTCCATTACAATTCGGTTCCGATGAAGTTATTATTGAAATGAAAGGTGGTACCAATTTACTTAGTGATAGACAATATCTTAATTTAACATGGTATTTTTCCGAAATACTGAAAAGTACATTTCCTATTGGTACAAAAATTGATATTGAATTATGGACAGTACGTCTCAATTCTCAATCACAATTGCAAAAGAATAATAGATCTATAATACTTGTACGAAATTTAAATCTTACTAATTCGGCACATATTCAACTACCTTCAAATATTTCGACATGTTTTATTCGAGTAGTTGCACATTTTAATAGTCAAATATACACTGGATTAAATACAGGCATACTAATTGTTAAAAGTGATCCATCATTGGCTGTCAAATTATGTCAAAAGTGGGCCGCACAACAACTGGAACCATCAATATGGAATGGTGGTGTTCTTCTTCAATGTCCAATGACACGTTGGCAAGCAATAGCAGCTGGTCGTTGTTGTTATGATCTCGATCGACAATGTTTTAATGGTAGTTCAAATCCAAATAATTGTTGGCTTCATCATGCTCGTCCTGGACATAATGAACCATCGGCTATTGAATGTTATATTTCAAAATATTCAAATAATTATCGTGCTGGAGCAGAATGTTGTTATGATAATAATCAAATGTTAATTACACGTGGTACAGGTGCAGGAACTGATGATCGATATCAACATACAATATCGCCTATTGAACATTTTTTTTACGATACTTTACCCTACTTACAATGTTGTATCATGACTACAAATGATGAAGCATGTAATAAATATATGTATTATCGACCACCACGAAAAGGTAGTAATACAATGGGTGATACTGGTCGTATGTGGGGAGATCCACATTTTGGAACGCTTGATGGAACTTCATATACTTTCAATGGCTATGGAGAATACATTTATTTAGCAATTAGTAATAATATTTCATCATCAGCTATTTTCAATGCTAGTAATCAATCTTATATATTTATGTCACAAATTCGAACTATTCCAATACCATCAATAAATGCTACTGTTACAAAAAGTTTTGCTGCTCGAACAAATAATAACAAAAGTGAAACAGTAAAAGTAACTATTTCACGTCGTCAAAATCTTGTTTTATATCGTGGAAATGAACCTATTGAATTCGATGATAATATTTATATACTCTCCTTTCCTGAAATGACTATTAATCGACTTGATGGTAATAATAATAGACATTTCTCTCTTTCATGGGCTATTGGTGTAACTATTGAAATAAATGTAATTGAAATGATATCACCATCAAAACAATTGATACTTGATATAGCTGCTTCCGTAGCTGGAAATTTTCGTGGAAAAACATACGGACTATTAGGTACTTATGACGGAAATGTAACTAATGATTTACGAAGTAAAAATGGAAGTATCATAAGAAGTAATGCTTCATTAGAACAAATTCATAAAGATTTTGGTGTTACTTGGGCTATTGATCCTTTATCTTCATTGTTGTACTATGAATCAGATCAAACTCCTCAGTTCTTTCACCAAAAAAATCGTGAATTTATTCCATCATTTATTGATCCGACAACAATAAATAATGTTACAATGCGTAATAGTTGTAATATAAATGCCACATCTTTATCTTCATCATGGAATCTAGCTCAACGAACATGTTATTATGATTTATACATGACTAATGATATTAATTTAGCTAAAGCATCATTATTGGCTGGTAATGAACTTTTATCAATTCGAAACAATCAAAGAAATCCACCTTCATTCAAATCATCACTTCCGCTCAACATGAATTTAATACATGGTAATAAAGTATATTTAAATATATCTGCAACAAGTGAATATACATCGAATGTTGTTCAATTGTTTGAATTGCATCGTCCTGCAAATGCTACATTTAATCAGTATACAGGTATATTTCAATGGACAGCTATTAAAGGTGAAGAATATTTGAGCATTGAAGCTCGTGATATAACATATAATTTAAGATCACGACATGATATCACTTTTTATGTCAAAGCAAATGACGTAACCACTACTACTACTGCTCGTACTACTACTGCTCGTACTACTACTACTGCTCGTACTACTACTAGTAGTGGCAGTAATAATCTAGTAAAGAAAACTAATGTTATCATTACCATTCTTGGCCTAACTGTTCTTTTTAGTCGATAAAAAAAAAGCATATTTATATCAATCATATTCCGGAATTTTGCAATAACATATATGAATTCAATTTCATTAAAAACAAAAACAATTGCTCTATTTTAATAATCTTGTGCTTGTTTTCAATTTCTTCTTGATAATAAACCGATTGCTTAATATTTTTTCATATTTTATCTGAAAACAACAATTTTATAAATAAAATATGCAGACAAGATTTATAAGTTTTTGTTCGTTTGATATCAATTTTTAGATCGGAATATAATCTATTTTGATAATCTTATTTTATTATACGAATGGAGATTAGAAAACATTGTAGATATTTCGTATGAATACGATAGTTATAATTTTGATAATATTTTCATTCAAATTCGAATGAAATATTGCATTATATAGTCAGAACTATGTTTCTCTATCTATTTAGCTGAAAATAAGGAAAATAGTTTTCATATTTAGAAATGTAGATTGTCCTCCGAAAAACAGAGAATTATTAAGAAAATCAACCAAAAATTTCAACTAAATGAAAGGTGTCATCCTTTGAACAAAGTATAATTTCACTCATTTTTTTTAGATTAAGCAAAAAAGAGACTTTTTATAAGTACTTACAGAAAAATTTTCAATTAGTTATATTTTTTCGAGAGTGAACTTTTCAATTGAAGAAAAAGATTTTCGAATAATTGTATTAATTAAATCATACATATTGTCTAGTTAACACATTGAAAATAATATTGAATATTTTTGATCAATAGTCTAGATCGCTGTGAATTCAGAATTAGTTAAAGCTTACAAAAGTACAGAAAAATAATGAATAGAAATTCGCTAGAAGCTTTCATAATAATGTAAATATTGGAATTTGTATTTTGATATATTTCATTGATCAGAATATTTATCCTGAACGCGTTTTCGAAAACAAACAATACACACTTATTACTCGTGCACTAAAAGAGCACAGAGATGTCCATAGTGGCGCTGCCGCTGCCGCCGTGGCGGTGACGGCGCGGCAGCGGCAGGTTTCTTAAAAACTCATCGCGGCAGCGGCAGCATTTTTTTCGAGGACATTGAAAAACTGCATGAATTTAATAGAATTTCATTGTTTACAAATGAAACACCCCGAGACTGAATGAATCTGATGGACTAGTACCAATATTTCTGGTCCAATACAGTTGCAGCAGTGAAAATCGAAACACTTTTTTGAAAACCATCGCGGCAGCGGCGCGGTGACTTTTTTTTTATAAACCATCGCGGCGCGGTAACTTTTTTTTTCTAATGCCGCAGCGCGGCAGCGGCAGAGGTTCAGCCGCGATGGACATCTCTGAAAGAGCATTGCATATATTTAGTTCTTGTTTCGTTGTTTTTTCTCTTTTTTTTTTTTTTTCATACATAAAAAAAATCGAAAACTTTCATTCTTTCAACAAGAACTTCAATGCATTAGCATTAACTATTATTCTAAATGATTTTTTAATCGAATTTTCGTCCTAAAATAATAAAAGTATTCTTTAATTATTTTATTTTTTTTGAAGTGAATAAGATAAGAATGATATAATAAAATATTCTGTTATAGTCGTTATTTAAACAGGTAACGTTGAAAAAAAAAATGTCAATGATGAAAGAAAGAGAATGATAACTGTAATATAAATTATTGACGTCATAACGAAAGTCGTAATAAAAATATCATAACGAATATATTTATTTCAAAAAGAAAAAAAAAAAAAGAGATATCAAAGTGGTCGTGAATATGGTTTTGTCTTTATTTGTTCTTATCGGTTGGTTTGTATGTATATTCATATGTTATTATGTAATTCGTCCTATTTCGAATAAATTAATTCGATTTGTTTTAATATTTTTTTTATGTATATTATTAACTTATATAACTTGTAAAAATCTTCCTCGTTTTTATGTATCTTCATTAATAATTGTTGCATTATGTTGGTTAATGTCAATACGTTTAATATCTTTAATATTATTTTCAAAAACAACATTATTAACTTGTCAAAAATTTTTATTAAAAATTCTTTGGATTTATTTACCAATATTACCTAAAAATAAAGTAAAAAATCAATGGTCAATTATATATCATATTATATTAATTATAATTAAATTATTAATAAATCATTGGATTTATCGATGGTTTATTAAATGTGGAATGGAAATTAGTTATGAAAGAATTTTCATGTTTTATTTATTTATAATGACAATATCATATATATTTGATATTGAAATGATTATTATTCGAATTTTAACACGAGATAAATATACACTTGAATCATTTACAAATTTTCCAATATTAAGTTTATCATTACGAGAATTTTGGGGTCAAAGATATAATCATATTATTAATACAATTTTAAAAGAATCAATATTTGAACCTATTCGATTAGAATTTTCATCATCGACTATTGCAGCATTGATAACATTTATTATAAGTGGTCTACTTCATGTTCATGCATGTTTTGTTGCTTTTGATGATAAATCAATACTTTTTCCAACTTTTATGTTTTTCTTTTTACATGCTATTGCTTGTTCTATTGAAACACATATGAAAATTAAACGTCCGGAACATGCCGGTTGGATACTAACACATGCATTTCTTCTTATTACATCACCATTGATGATTCGACCATTTATAGAAAAAGGATGTCCATTTATAATGATTAATCCTCCGCCATTAATCAATATTGAATGGATACCAAAATTATCTTTACCTAAGTTTTGTCCACAATAAATGATTTTCAAATACGATTGATACAAGACAAAAAAAATCTTTTTTTGTAAACTAGCTAATAAAAATTTGACTACTGATTTTATTTCAAATAATTTGAGGAATTATTTGTGATATTGATATTAGTTTTCATTAAATGAAATTCATAGAAATACAAATTCGAATTAATAGGTTCAAAATTCTAGATTTTCTGGACTTTAATTATTGTTTTAAAAAAATAGTTGTTTTCACGAGAGAATCTTTCCAGTTGTCAAATCGCTTTCGAGTCGGGAGTGTGTGCATAATGCAGATCATAAGGAGCTATGAATACCTGAAAAGGATTCGTGCTGCTGAGATATTGCATCTTCACGATATTTTTTAAAAGAAAGTCGTGGTCACCCTCAGGAATATTAAAAAAACTGAATTTCGAATTTTGACTTGAAACTTTGCACAGAGAAAGGTCTCAATAAGAATAGTTTATTATGACAGTTTCAGATCTTTTGCTTGTTCCTATCTTAAGATACAGCTATGATAAAAGCATACTTGCACATCGCTCATATAGACACTGGCGGGTTCCGATGATCAATCAAAATGTCTGAAACTTTCACAATAAACTATTCTCATTGAGACCTTTCTCTGTGCAAAAATTTCAAGTTAAAATTGGAAACTCAATTTTTCTAATATTCCTGAAAGGAATCCCGTCTTGCTGTTTAAAAATGTCGTGTAAATGCAATATCTCGGCAGCAATAAGCTAAGCACGAACCATTTTCAGGATATTCATAGCTCATTAGGATCTACATTATGTACGACTTGAAAGCGATTTGACAGTTAGAAAAATTCCTTCGTCAGTTTAACTGTTACTTACGAAGAAACATTTTCAAGTGATTCGCACAGTTTGGACTCATCTTTTGCTGGTGTGTGTTACTCATCATATAGATCAAATACCTGTAAGGCTTCGTGCCACTATTGTACGGTTTCAAAGTTATGAGCGAAACAACTGCTATGATAGATGGTGCCACTTTCTATGCACTGTTTTTTTCTTCCTTTCGTATCTTAACTAGGAGATAGCCTTTTCCATAGAGATTTATCATACAAACTTGTCTCAGCTTGCTCGAATGAAAAACGTTTTAAGAAATATGTTTCGATTACAATATGGAAAATAGAAACCATTACTGAATAGATGGTAGCAGCGTCTATCCTTAAATCAATGTTTCTGGAGAACGGATCCTGCAGGAAAACACTTGAAGTCGCCGGAACAGGGTGGTAGTATTCCGGTCGGAAATTCTCCGTATTTTTTCCTGGAATTTCTGGTCAGCTTCCCTCCGTTTCTTGCAGGAAGTTACCGGAAAAAATCCGACAATTTGTCACTCGGAATACTGCCATTCAGTTCCAGAGATTTCCGGTGTTTTCCCGCCGTAACCCGCCCGTACTTCTCGATCTAGGTCATAGTAGATATTTCGCTCATAACTTTGAAACCGTGCAGCAATGGTATGAACCATTTTAGGTATATCATATATATATATAATGAGCCTTACATACCAACAAAAGATGTATCCAAAACGTGCGAATCACATGGGAATGTTCCGTCGTTAGACGATTAAAAATTTCAAAAAAACATTCTATTCAAGATTTGACGAAACTTAACATCAAAATAGAATTCATTGTGCACACATTTATGAGCGAGAGTCATCATTCTAGAATAAACAAACAGTTGAATGAACAGGCAAAAACGCTTTTCATAGTTAAAGATTTGAGTTTTAATTATAAAATTTATGCATATAACAAATAAAACAAAATTGATGTCTTTCTTTGTTTTGATAAGAATTGATTAACAGAACAAAAGTCTTTGACCGAAAGTGCTATTCACAAAAAAAAAAAGAACAATTTTGTTCTATTTTAAGTGTTCGAAAAAATTGTGTTCATTGCTGATAGCATTTTTCGTCTTATCGAAATTATTGATAAAAATCCATTTCCAATAGTGAAAATGAAACCTAACAATATGAAAGAAAACGGCTTGAAAATGCTCTGAGTCATTTCGCCACGAAACGACGAAAAAAAAAAATGAAATATCAGATAACTATGTTTGTTATCTGATATAGATGAAACTCATTCACCTACACCTTCTAATCAAGTATTTCAATAGAAATTCAAATTCCAAACATGAAATAGATTTTGTTTCGAAAATCAAACAACAACTTTAATTACCTACTATGGAACAAATTGTTCAAAATAAAACTATCGAATCTTAGATATATTTACACGATAATGAGCAACCTGTTTCTGAAAATTTTAATTATACATTTACATGGAGAGATGAAAGGGCGTTTAATTTTAATGGTTTTAAACTTTGGAATTTATTTTTGATAAAGATTATCATTTAAAACTCGAACATTTGAAAGTCATTATCTCTAATTTGAAAATTTTTCTGTTTCCAATCGTTAATAATGATGTGTTTGTAGATCATGATCATACTAATAAAAAAAAACAATATATAGATGAAGCAAAATCAGTTCGATCAGGACGATTTAATGTCGACAAATTAGACTAGAAAAATCTAGGATATCTCGAAAACATAAACCTAGTTTTGATAGTACCGAATCGGCGGAGCAACTGATTGTCTATAAAATGGGACATCTCCGAACTCTCTCCATAACATTTTTTGATTGAATTACATAAATTTTAACAAAAATCGAAAAGTCTTTTTTTGTTCAGCTTTCCTTTAGGAAATGGTGAAAAAAAAAATATTTGTCGAGTTTATTCTTTAGACATTCAATGAAATCTTATGTATGAAGTCTGTTGAGTAGAAATCAACATGTATATAAGTCATTGCTAGGAGAACAACGAAGGAAGTAAGCGCATGTTCTTTTTCACATTCGTGCAGACAACTGTGTTACAATAAAAAACAAAATGTTACTCATTTAACGAAATAAACGTTGTAAATGAAATAGGCAAATAAAGAAATTATGTATGCATTTCGTTTTGAGAATTCTAATAAATATGTTCATCTCACTCAACAACAACTCGATCATTTACCTTATTTATCTATTCTTGTTAATTTAATTTTTATCTACACAAAAATGAAAATGATGAATATATATATTGAATTCTTCATTTGAGTATAATTGATTTATAATTATTCTTGAGTCTATTAGTTCAAAAATATTATATAAACTTATTCAATATGATCGTACAAATATATCAACATTGAAATATGACGATATTAAACAAAAAAAAAAAACAAAGATATTATCATATTGTATTCAAAAAAACTTAATGTTGATAAATTCAAAATTCGATTTAGTTCAAAAAGTCAAAAATATCGATGATCGATTTTTTAAATAAAAAAATTTATTTGACATTCCATAAACATGATTTTATTTATTTAATATTAAACATACAAAGTTTTGCACAAAAATTAAACGATTTTTATAAACAAATAATATAGGAAATGTATCGATGCGGGTTTTGTTCTTTTCATCTACACTCAAACTCATACGCAGATCAGTACTCACACACTCTGAGTTTCTTCTTTCGTTCCTATGTTTTAATTTATCATTATATGTTCTCTGTAGGCATTTACGAATGGTACAAAAAAAGCGCTTCTTCGTTTTTTTTTTTTTGCAGCAGAACGAAAAAAAAAAAGAGTCAGTTTCATCAATGCGTGCAATATGTAATAGAAATAGTGAAGCGTTATCGCTCAAACGCCATAAATTGAATATGTCGTTATCGATATTTTATTTTTCGATATGTACTGTACAACCTCGGCAAAATTTATATAAGCAATGATGCATACGTTTTTTTTCTTTTTCTCATTTTAGAACAAACATTATTTTTGTGTATTCACGTATATTTCTTATTAGAATAATAACTCGGTCAAATTTTTCTGTTTTTTTTTTGTGCAGAAACTACTGAAAAAAAATGTCATCGTTCACCAAATTAAAATCGGATATTGTATCAGGATCGCTTGATAATTTGGAATTCTGGGGTGAGATCCAAGATGATCATCTAGTTCCACACGGTTTATTAGCCGATCAAAGTGAAATGGATGATATTCCTGTTGGTATTTATGTTCTTGAAAACGATGGCCTACTCATCAGTTGCAATAAGGCAGCTATAGATGCTTGGGGTCGTACACCATCGCTTAAAACAAGCGAAAAGTATTGTGGTGCACATATCCTTCGATATCCATCGGGTGAAATTATGCCACATCAGCATGCACCACCATCAGTAGTAATCAATAATGGAGCTACAGTAAGAAATGCTGATGTGATCTGTGAACAACCGAATGGAAATCGTCTTCTGGCACTTGTCAACGTTTTTCCAATTCGTGAGAAAGATTCGCAAAATGGTAACGTCATTGGAGCTGTGAACATTTTTCGTCATAATACTAACAAAACAGTTCCTGGTCTTGTCATTTGACTTCTCTATCACTAAAATTGATTTCGAATTCATTTTCTTTACTTTTGTATTCGTTCCTTCTATAACAAACAATAAAAACTTTCAATTAGCGACGTTCTTCATAGTGTACTCGGCGTCTTTCTTATAACGATTCACATGAACCCATAGCATTCGCTTCTCTACCATTCATTAACATTACTTGTTGTTTGATTTGATATTGAACAATCTTCTCTTGTTTATATCAGTTATATAAAATAATTCGGTGTGAATGCAAAAAAAGAATCCATACTCTCAACGACTCAAAATCCTGTCGTGTGAAACTCACATATACTTTGGAAGAAAATATGATGAACAGAAATTCATATCAAGGTTTTTACGAGAGTATGGGTGGCTGTGGGTGTGAGTCTTCTCTTCATTAACCTTACACCTACATATCCTAATAATTTAACGATTCATTTGGGAAGCTATTGGAAAAGGTATTAAAAACAAAAAAAAAATGATGTTTTCGTTTTTTGTGCATCAGTTGTTCATTAATAGTATGCCTAAGCATTAATCAGCATCAATCGGAATGTAAAGACCATCACTAAAGTATAGAACGATTCGACTGATATTCTCGAACAAATGTTAATGCATGGAAAACAATAATTCGAGTAAAATGTCGTATTAGTTACTTCAGCTAGAAATTGTTCTAAAGCTATAGTAAACTTAGTAGGCTCTTGTATAAATGCAAAATGACTCGTTCTCGGCAATATCAATTCTCCAGATTGTGGAATCCAACTAGCCATCGTGTCCGGTTGTTCTCTATTAATAACTTCTTCATGATCACCACTGACAATCCAAACGGGTAAATTCGAAGGAATTTTATCAAAATCAGCTTTTTGCCAATTCGGATAATTAGCCCACATTATTAGTAAATCATTGAGCAAAATTTCATATTGCTTATTGGGATTAAATGCTTCATATTCGGCTTGTGCACGTTTAAGATAAGCAGCGAAAACAGGTGGTATAGACGGGTCGTTTTCATCTGATGTATGATAGTTCGCACCGAATGCAAACAATGAATATAGTCTATTAGGATAATTCATTGCTAGATTAAGACCAATATTCGCTCCATCACTCCAACCAACAAGATGAATCTTATTGAGACCAAGATAATCAAGTAGACTAACAACATCTGAAGTCATCAGATCATATGTTATATTGGTAGACGATGATAGACTTCGACCTTGTGCTCGAGAATCCATTAGAATACATTTGTAAATACTTTGAAGTTGTTGAATTTGTAATCCCCAATAGTTACTATTAGCAACTCCACCATGAAGGAAAAGAACAGGTGTACCATTTGTTGGTCCATAAATAGTGTACCATATGCTAATATTATTGATCTGTGCATATTGACCATTATCAGGAAAAGGAAGTTGAGGTGTAGGTGGAAGGCGTAACCATGGATATTCTGAATTCAACACAGTAGAATTTTCACTTTTAATCGATGTTAAAAAATGAAAAAATATGAAAACGAAGAGATAGATAGCATTCTTATTGTTCCGCTGCATTCTATCGTGATGAAATAGTAATAGAGCTGTTTTACTCAATTTCTACTTGTCGTTAATGAATAATTGTTCGATTTTTAATCAAATATCGGCAAAACTGAAACGAACAATAGTTAACATCAGTATCTGCCAATTTCTCATAATGTATCACTATTAAATATGCGAGCAGAATGATTTACGAAAATTCAATACAATTAGTATCATGAAGAACTGTTTAGACTGTCCTAATCGAAAAATTGAATCGACTTTATTCATTCAGAGTTTGAAGAAGTCTATTTAAAAAAGAAGTAGTCAACAAGTTTGTATTGACGTTCATATATAAATGAGAAGTCAACTCTTTTTACAAAAGTCAGTTCATTACTACTTTGTTTTTATGAAATATTTTGAGCAGCACTTAAGAAAGAACGAATAACATGTAAAAAAAAATTGCTTTCGTTGTCGTTATTTGAGATCACTTTTCATTATTCATATTTTGACTGATAAAAGAAAAAATAAAAGTATTCTTGTATCTTTACCTTATACTGTTGCTCGTAAATAATGCAGAGAAGGTAAAATAAAAGTGTTTTAGTCGCATTTATTTATGCTTATCGTTCTCAATAGATAATAGGATGAAGAAAAGAAAAAAAGTCAAGGTTTGACATTCGATAATGGTATATTTATGACAAATAAAGAATGAATAGATGAAACGAGTATATAGACTAACGGAAATGAGCCATTTCATATTTTTAATTTTTCTTCTTCGAAATACACTCCTTCAAATTGACTTTTTTACTAAAACATTCTCCGTTAAATTCTCTAATATTTAGGAATATATTTTCTCTAAGTTTTCAAAATCTGTTACAAGCATTTCATGAAATGCTCGCAACTACTTAAAACATGTTTTTTTCTTCTTTTTTTTGTAAATTTTTCTCTCGTTTCAATTTTTAATTTGTCAATCAATGTGGCTTTTTTTGTAATTTTGGACGATGCTATAGCTTGAAAAATTTCATTTCATATACTGTAATCCAGCATAGGCGGCGGAGCCTCAAGGCCTGGAGAGGTAAAGGCTTGGATAGGTTCGAACTGGTAAATATAAAGATTTGAATAGGCTCAGTTTGACATATAAATTTTCTAATAATAGTTAATTTGCATGTAATTCTAACAGATGACGCGTTATTACAATGGCAGTGTGCATTTTATCTATTACAAATTCGTGTAGAGAGGCATACTGATTGGCTTTCGTGGACTTCTATATCTATGTCAAATTGTTTATTTTCGACATAAGATAATTTGACTTTTGGTATAAAATTCTGTTCAAAATAATTTTTGAATTTTAAGCAATAAAGAATAGTATACTTTCACAAGCGGTGAAGTCACAAGATTTGAGTAAGCTGAAGTTCATCATATTCGAAGTTTCATAGTCTAAGAGAGATGTGAACAGTTGCTACTCATTCTATCATATTAACAAACTTGCTTAGTGCTTGAAAGTTTCTGCTGTCATCACTAACAACTACTAACACTTTTAGGAAAAAGCTGAGGTCCGTATGAATAGATATCGTGGAATACATTAGCAATAAGTTCATATCATATTGTCTTGTTAGAAGTGAAGAATATCTTCACAGGATCTTGCAGTTATATCTACTGGATAATGTCAAAAGTTCTCCTCTTGCAGCGGTCAATCTCAGATGCTAAGCATCCATTTTCAATAGGGATATTACTTTACCTTTACTTTAAAAAATAAAGATGAGAAAATAAAGAAATCCTTATTTTTTTTATAAAATAGAGATTAAGTAAATCTTTATGTTAATGAAATAAAGAATAAAGATATATTTTTTCATGTAATAAATACATATACAAATACCCTGTGTCAGAATAGAATATGTTAATGAGTGTTCTTTCTTACCACCATCATATCTTCAAAAAAACAAGGGGGCTACTCATGAAACGATATGTGAGAAAAATGTTACTGCGCATTATATTTAATTACACAATATGGTGATTTTTTTTTGAGATCGTTCAACAAAATAAAAACAATAAGTTTTGATAGGAAAAAAATTCTTTATTATAAAGAAAATAAAAATAAAATAACACTCCTAATTTTCAACGTGCTGATAATAATCCACAATGACATCCCTTTTCTGGGGGCACCATTGGCGTTGCAATAATCCTAATTTCTAGTAATACGAATCAAAGATTCTTTCTTGAAAGCAGCTCATCAATTAGTTTCAGAATGTAACCGAGTGTAGTTTTGAGTCTGAATCTGAAATATTGCTGTTACCCAAAGTCAGATTTGAGTCCAGGCACAAGTTCTCGAATTCAGGTCTGATGAGCGCTAGCTGCATACAAAAGCCAGTTATAAATTGGTTATTACAATATATTATCGTCAAGAATGTTTTAAAAACGTGTAAGGTGTGTTAGTCACCGAAAAATTAATCGCAAAAAACTGCAGCATCTTCGAAATAATTATCAAATCGAGAGTAAAAGAATTCTATTGAGAGTACGAAGACTAACAGTTCAAATTCCGATACAAAATTTTTGCAGCCGAAGGACTATATTTGAGAGTCAATATTCAATCAAAAAAAAAGTTTAGGTGATTATTTGAATACAAATTTCTTTGCAATAAATTGCAAACTCACCTCTGATATGAACTCATATTGAGAACCAAAAAGTAGAATTAGAAATAAGCAGTATTAATTGTGTTTAGTGGAACAGTATAGCAGAAAAAAATTACCCTTCTATTTCTAATCCATCGGTCAGGGTCTTATTAAAAAATGTTGAGCCTACCATAGATTCAAAACGTTCCGCCGCCTATGGTAATCCAATAGATTCAGGCCTGGTGAATTTAGTAGCCATTGATTCGTTGGTACGAATGATGGAAGATGGTCACATTGAATGGCAATTGATAAAACTCCTTTGTTATAATGCTTATAATCAAGCGTCCCTTGATCAAGTCGATTAAACTATATCGATATGCGCCGAGTCAAAGTATAACTTTAGTCAGGACGTTGTTTTACTATGTCATCTGCCTTTTGACGATAAATTCGATTACATGTTCGAAAAATATTTTAAGGTCATTTAATATTTTAAAACTTTCATATGCGCCTGATTGATTGTGACAACTGCCACATCAGGATTCTGAGTTTTCTCGATTGATGAAGTAGTGTGAATAAAAGCTAGGTTAAAATTTTCTCAAGACAATCCTCATTATGGTCATAATTGAATAATTAATGATATACACGATCATTCTTACTTTCATATCTTCAGTTTGCATATGTTTCTCTGTCATTATATTATTCATAATTCAAAGAATAGACAAGTTCTCTATGAATATGGAATGACTTTTTTTTTTCTTCTTCATGTCTGTTATTAGCTCTCACCAAGTCAGATAGGATTATAATCTCTATTGAAAGGCATCACATAAAAGAATATGTTAAATAGTTATATGAGAAATTGTTTCAGCTGTTTTTTTTTTATTATTATGCCTTGTCTCTTTTTCATATCTATTTATCATACGTAAAGACAGACGCAAAGAATGTTTCGATCCATACTATTATTCTTTATATATTTACCAAAATTATGTACAACAATTTCCTATGATGGAATCATTCATCGATCATCTGATGGTAGTTCTTATGCATATCTTTCTCCACCAAGAACAGGAAATCATGCATCATTTATTGAACAAATGACACCAACTGGTACTTTAGCAGTTGCTTGGTTTACAGGTGGTGAAAATTTACCAAATTGTTCAATAGCAGTATCAATTCTAGAAATTAAATCACAACAATTTACTCCTGGTATTATTGTAAGTGAACGTATTAATTATTCAAATCAAAATCCAGTACTCTTTTGGGATAATGAAACACAAATATTACATTTATATCATTCATCACAATTAAGTAATTTTTGATCGTAATCGTATTATTTCTACGTGGAAAAACGATGGTGTTATTTTCCCATGTTATAATACATCAACAAATTCAGGTTACTCATTTATACTTCGATCAAATTTTGTTACTTCAAGTTGGACACGTACTGATATTCCAATGACTACTAATCTTGTTCAACCGTCAATTGTTCGTTTGACTAATTCTTCGAAATTACGAACATTTTTTCGTGATCGAAATGCTGTATCAATATATTATGCTGATAGTTATGATGATGGATTAACATGGACAGTGTTAAAATCTACATCTTTACCAAATAATAATGCAGGTATTGAAGCATATACTTTAAAAACTGGAGCTTTAGTTATAGCATTCAATAATCATAATGGAACACAACAACCAAGATCACCATTAACAGTTGCACTATCTTATGATAATGGAATAACATGGCCATATCAAAGAAATATTCAAATTCATGATGATGATAATATTACAAAAATAGGAGAATATTCATATCCATCATTATTACAAAGTTTTTGGAGTGAAAGTGATGATAATGATATTCATTTAGTCTATACATATAATAGAGAAACAATTAAATATGTTCGATTTAATGAAAAATGGATTAAATTTATCAACACAGAAATTGAATTTCTTTTATGAAAAAATAAATCTTTGCTTTTCCTTATAGTTTTCACTATTAATTAACAATCAAATTATTCTATTTGATCATTTTTTAAAAATTACTCTTGTATCAATGGTAGTTGAATAAATCTAAGAAAGACTATAGTTATCTGATCGTGAAGGATATGAACATGTCTGAGTCTTTTAATTGATATCCACGCCCATTATGACGTCCTGCTCGGCTCTATGAAAAAAAAAGCTGTTAGTGCGATCCCTGCGATATTAAAAATGTGAAACACGATAAAGCTGTTGTTGATAAACAAGTAGAAATAGTTTATTTCTGGTTGTTTCAGGATATGTTTTTTCCCAATCCTTTACTTAGTGCTTTAGAACTGTAGTAAGCAAGTAGTTCACATATTGTAACGATAGTTTATCGATATAAGATTTTTAACCTGTTTCAAAAACGCCTATCCCACGCCTTGATGGATTTTAGAGATGTCTCTCACGGTCTATAATGTCTCTAAACTCTGTCCGTAACGGTCTGTGATGGGAGAGGGGAAGTGAATTCCAAAGTTCTACCCTATATACTTCTACACTCCTTTCAGATCGTGTTTCACAAAATTAAGTTTTTTATTTTAGCGGTCAATGAGGTCACGGGCCGAAATTTCTCTAGGAGTTTCGGCTCATCCAGAAAAACCACCAAAATTTCGAACTTGGCCGAAATTTATGTAACTCTACATACAAGTAAACCAACGCCCACGTCCTCATTCATACTCGAAATTAGCAAAATGGTTATTAGTCAGCCTGAAAGATCGATGTAAATGAACCATTTTAGGCTTTTACTAGCCTTGCCGATACCTTCTTTTGAGCTGAAACTACGCGTATCATTTTGGGATAATTCCTTCATGAGCTGATTTCACAGCAGCCTGACTTTCGGAGAAAGAACCTGTAAGAATTCGATGAATATTTCTTTTTTATCATCTATTAAATGTATCTACGATTCATTCTATTTCAAATATTTATTGATTAATCTTTTTTTGCTTTTCGATTTCTGTTACAATATTTCACACATAAATAATATATGATCATTGAAGGTAAAAAAATACAAACAAATATTCTATCAAGTAAATATCGTTGATAGAATGAAAGTGTATTGTAAAATGGTTTATACCGATCTAAACTACCATTCAAATTGACAAAATGTTCAATTTCTTCTACTGCTTTTCTTACACCACCAGCATGTTTTATTTCGAGTGACATCATTCGAACTGCTTGTTCATATGAAGTATTTCTCCATATTGCTAATAGTTTTGTTGTAACATCACTAGCTGAAAATACATAATCATGAAAATCAAGTGGATTTAAAAATAATTTCCATAGAGATGGTGGTACAAATAATGATTCTCCAACTCCTGAATGATAGATTGAAATTGCATTTGAAAATTGATCTGTGCATAATGGTAAACATATGATAAGTTTTTCAAAGTAAAGTCCTTCTACAATTGAACCCATTCCACAATGACTTATAAAAATACTAATTGAATTTTGTTGTAAAAGCCATTTTCGACTTTTACTCGTTGATCATTCATTAATATCTGTCGATATTGATCATGTTCCATTTCATTTAGTACAATTTGATAATTTTCATAATTCGTATTACGAAATGCCAAAAAGGCGGAAATCGAATCTTTTTGTAAAAGAAATTCAGCTAGACCATATATTAAATTCTTCATTCGAACTTGATTAAGTACAGAAATACTACCAAAAGCCACATAAACAATAGACTTCGGAGGTTTCGATTTAATTCATCTTGTAAGATCATTTTCGACATATTCAATTGATGAATTATCCACAAATCCACCAAGATATTTAGTATCATGATATAAAGATGATGGCGGATAGAGTGTTGGTGGTAAACTGATTAATTTCAAACAATTTGATTTAGTCCGTAATATGTTTCTTAATGTAAATACTTCGTAAAATGGTCCAGGCACTTGAGGAAACGAATGAAAAATTCTGTAGTACATTTTAAATACTGTTTTAAAAAGAGGGATTGTCAAACGTAAAGTTAAAGCAAAATTATAAATACGATATTTCAATTCGGTTAAATATTTTGATGATAGTAATGAGTTACTAATATGTTGATTAACATCAAATCTATTTAATTGGTTTTCTAGAATTATTATTACACATGATGCATTTGCTTGTTTGCATAGAAGATGTGTACCAATCGTTAATGATGTACCAATAATCACATCGTAGCGTTCCGACATTAATAAATTGACTGATTTGGTCATCAAAATATTAATAACTGGACTTATTCTTGATATCATATAATCTACACTTTCTAAAAGAGAGTGATTCATAAAATATTCAACTACTTGTTTTTCTCGTTTCTTTTCATTAATAAATGCATCAGTCGAATCATTCGTATAAATGATGCGAAATGAAGATAATTTTGCATATGATTCAAAATTTATATAGGTTTGAGCATGAAAAGCCGTAATAAATGTTACATTATGGTTTTTCATTGTTTTTGCTAATTCAAACATTGAAATAACATGACTTGTTTCACCTATCACAAGACTGACGAATATAGAAGACACTAATTCGAACAGTGCTTGGCTCCAACGGACGATAAGCCTACGAGACATCGTGAATCATGAATAATTGCTTCATGCATGAAAATAACAGGTTGATTACTGCGCAGATTTCAATTATAGAATCATTACTATCTTGAATGCAACGGCGGAAACATTCACAGAGAGTTAGGCCTAATTGAGAATGAGGGTAGAGGAGATGCATACATATATTGCAGCAAATGAGGATGACACGGAAAGAAATATATAAAGGATCGCACTGATGTATTAGAATTGCAAGAAAACACTTACTTTCTTCATCTATGTCTTTCATAGCAGAGATGGACAAAATCGCACCGCGCCTCACCGCGCTTCCCCGCGCCACTGCTCGCGCCTAGGCGCTACGCACATCTCTCTTTCTCTTTGCTCTACCAATCAGTTTCTCAAACTCCACCGAATACCAGGATGCTCTAAGCATGCGCTCATCGAAGCTCAGACTATTGTAGCGTAGGCGTGAGCAACGGCGCGGGGAAGCGCGGGGAGGCGTGGTGCGATTTTGTCCATCTCTGATGCGAACACCTATGATTCTCTGTTCCTTGGTTATTTGATCTTGAAGTATTCGTTCAATACTTTGGGAGATGATTATTACTTCGGAAGTTTAATCCATTGTTGCAAGTGATAGATTTCAATTTTGATAACGTAAACTGTAATATAGTGCCTATGTGTTATAATACGGTCAAATATTTAATGTTAAACGATATCTGAATTATATTTCATAATGAAAATAATGTCTTTTTTTGTGTCTATTGTGGCTCCTATTTTTTTCAAAAAGTTTCATTTATATTCGAACTCGAATTAAGCATTTATTCTACATGAGTTCTGAAGCAAAAAAAAGCAGAAGAACAATGTCTAGTCTATACAAACTAATTTTTGAAACGAAAGTTGAAACTCTAATAATATCCATACAATCAATATTTTTTCCAAACGAAAGGATTATATCATGTTAATTGAAAAAATTATATTAGAAAGAGTCATTGCTTGCGATACAGCTGCAGATAGAAGTTAAAAGGAAGGCTATATTTGCTTGACTAAAAAGAACTCATTTAATATTTCATCAGTATGAATGAAAAATTTTTATCTTTCTTTTTCTCCATGTTTCGAGACAATTGAACAACATGAGGCCAACAAAGATATTTAAAAAAGTATGTCTTCTCCAAAATATCTCGCAATAAGAATATATCAATTTTTAGTCGAAACTTTGCTCATGAACTACATTACAATAAGTTGAGTTCAACCCATTGAGACACTTATAAAAGAATACATACGTCTTCTATGCATTATAACACAATAGCGTAGCCATTCATACGATCAGAACAAGTAGTTGCATTCAAACGGTCACGAATACTAAGAACGAAAAAAAAAGAATTCTAGGTCCGCTTTGTATCAGAATGAAACAATCTACGGTCACTTCTGTCATTTATGTGCCATTCAAATAAGAAAGGTGTGTGATATTGTGTTCGTTCTCATGACGACCATGTTTTATTTGTATGAAATATTGATACTAGGATGACATATAATTATTCTCTTATTATTGATTAATATATTTGTTGTTGATGATATTTTTAGAAGAACTTTGCTTTCATACTGTACTTATGGATATTCATTGGTGTAATGTTGATATAGAAGAGGAATGTGTTCTTTTTGAGTGTAAAGGTCGATTTCAAGAAAACTATCAACGATATGTGACTTATATCTTAAGTAACAGACATATTCCACGCAAAGTTGTATGGATTTATCGTAAAATCTCTTCAACAGAAGCAATCGAAAGAATCAACAATTTCTTCACTCATCACACTAAGCAGTAAGTTTCTGGAAGTTCAATGATTAGACTATTGTCGTAATATTTAGAAGCATGTTACATTGATAGATATATATGTATAATGTCTTCGACATAAAGTTTATAACTAATGATAGTTTCATCAAATTCTTGTTCTCACTTGAATAAATGCTATGAGTACTTGAACTTAAGCTTGTTTATTTTGATTTTAGTTATGAACAAGACCCATTGCAAAATGATTATCACTGTCTATCACCATCACAATTATTGATGACCTATGATGAAAGATCTAGTTTAAACAGCTTCAAAGAACAAGAACATATAATTGAAGATTTTTCAGAAGATTTACCCGGAACAAATGAAGAAGAAATCGAGATACTTAGTACAGATGATCTTCAAAATGACTTAAAGTGCTCGATTACAATCCTTGCTTCGGGAATATTTCCTAGATGTGACCTGGTCTCAGAATCATCCAAGAATTTATTTACTCAATCAGTTTGTACGTCCGATCAAGACAGTGACTTTTCAAACTATAATGTTGCACAAGAAACTACGATATTGACAACATCGAACGGATTTCAGTGTGACTCATTTGGTTTCACTGACCGACAAGTTCCTCCAACACCACCAACTAATCAGTCTGATAATTCTCTATTAGCACCAACTTCGTTAATGTTACCACGTAAACAACGATATCAAACGCGTCTCTATCGACCACGGATTGTTCGACGACTTGCCTGTGATCGTCAAAAGACACCAAAACAACGCACAATACAGTATTACTTAAACAAATTTGAATGTCTTACACATCGTGTCAATCGTTTATATAAAAGAATCGATCGGATACTAGAATGTTACTTGTCTACACCAGAATCTGAACTTTGAGTCTAATTATCTAATTAGTTTAGTTACTATAGAAAAGACTGTGTCTTTCTGACGATGTTATTCATTTGTTAATTAATCTTACAAAGCATGTTTATAATTATTGACGAAAATAAAATGACGTAAGAAGTTCAAAATTGATAGTTTCGTCGATGGAGCTTTAAAAAATGCCAGACTAGTATCATAAACTAGATACTAATTTTGGATTGATATCCATTGGAAAATATATCAGCGAGAGACTGGAAAACGCATACAATAATTTGTACATTCGGTATTTATTAAAAATTTATCGTCCTACTCTATATGAAGCAAAGATTTTCAGTTGTAATTAAAATGTTGATCCTATTTTTTTTTTCAAAAAAAGGAAAAATACTGTATAAAATGCAAAATTATTCGATAGGTCGGCATCAACGTTGAGCTCTCATGGTAATCCAACTAATAAAAGATCTAATAATCGTTCTTATAAAGCTTATAATTGGCACTTGATGAATTGATACTATGCAAATATGAAATACATCATAATCTAATAAAGATTTAATACAGTTTCGCAGCAGACTCATTGTAAATTGATTATTGACACGAACACATTTTTCATATTCATTAGACAAATACTTAATGGCTGAAAGACTATTCTTTTCTCTAATAGATTTAATATATGCATAATCCATTCTCTTTTTTTGCAATGTTTCTATTTCGTTTGAAATTTAAAAATAGACCATAGCAATATAACATTCAATGTATACGCATTTTTAAAACTCTATTAGAATTTTGAAAAACGTCAAAGCTTGACTCTTATAATTTCAATAATTCCTGATGTTGCGAATCAAAAGAAGTCTTCAACATTTTCTTAAGGGACATTAATTTGTAAATTGTCCATTTTCAATGACTTGTAATTAAAATTCTTTCTCAAAAGAACAATTTCGTCAATAGATTCATCAAAGGAACTACTATTCGGCATTTTTCTGTCGGCTAAATCAAGAATTTTAACCGATCGGTTTGACTCGGTTGAGAGGACCCAACCAGTTTCAATAGTGCAATCTGTGGTGATTTTTCTATAACTTAGTATAGCATTATAAGCTTTGCAGAGCAGTCACTTCTGATTCCAGTATTAACATTAATTATTACGTATATTTCTAGTTGTTTCAATCACTTTAAGAAGAATATTTCATTTAATATATATGCTGTATTTCTGATTACATATGCATTTCTTTTCAACTGTTACGTATGTTATCAGCAAGCCTATTGTATGTAGTATATCTGAAGTACACTATTGCGTAAGACACACACAGTGGTGATTACGTGATACTTCAATAAGTATACTGATGTAGAAGTGCAACTTCATGGTTTCTATTCAAGTAAAGTTTTGTTTACTTTTCTTTCCTCTGTGACATAATACTAGCACTGCACACAAGTCTATCCTAGACTAAGTTACTTTAGGTCAGCGTAGGCTCAAGTATTGGTTTCTCGTCGCATCAGATTGATAGATTTTCACACTCTAACACAATTTCTTCTAGAACTCTCAAAATTTTTCATCGTATGAAATGATAACATATTGCCCGAATTCTATTAGAAGAAGAGCATGTTTGTTATTTTGGTTTATTATTATATTTTATGGTGTCCTATAACTGAGACTTAGGTAAGATTTTTCTTTTTATTTCGTAAAGGTTGTCTCTATTTAACTTGAATGCCTGATCAGGCAAAAATGGCTTTTGACTCTTGCGAATACTTGTGTAAGATCGGAAGAATTTGATATCAAGGAGGATGTTTTTTTTCTGCGAAACATTCATCGTTTTTAATTTGTGCAATATTCTGTATTATTTTCTTTCTTGCAACTTCTACAGGTATGCTATCATGTTCAGTATTAAACGTTGAGTAGAAAGCCTTACCCTAAAATTATATTGGTGATAGCATGGCGGTTCGTTAATTTTAGGATGCATGAAGATTGTTTGTAGCAAACATATCTAGTGATTCTGTGTAAATCACAAAAACCAATGCTTCATCTCATAAGATTCATCAGGTCACTAGTCGTAGAAGTACAAATGACTATTTTTGTTCCTAAGCGGTGATTGTAGTTGCTGGCATGCGTGAGAATCCTATACATAACCACAACTACATTCACAGCAACATCAAAACTCATTCATGTTTACATCCATAAAAGCCAATACTCAGATTCATGCACATCACACCACACGAGTCACACAGACACATCCCTAGTCAAGTATGCACTCTCTTTCCACATTCACCCCCTCATACG